CCATCCCTGGAGGTGTCCAAGAAACATGTTACTGTGGGGCTTGGGGACATGGTTGGGTGGGGTTGGGTTGACGGTTGGGCTTGATGATCCTGGAGGTCTTCTCCAACCTTTGTGATTCGATGATTTGATCATTCAGTGGCTTTGGAATAAGCTCAAATTCAGGGCAGCGACCAGCTGGTTTTGCCCCTGTGACCAGCTGGTGGATATTTTTGCGTGTCTCACGGGCAGCTCTATACGTATTCACTGTGAATGCAGCACTTAATATCCTTCCTTTGGTGGTAGGGGAGGGTTTTGGGGACAGATTGTGATAATCAGAACCTCTTTGCTTCTCACGACAAAAGCACCCGCCCGCGAAGAGCTCTTTCCTCCCCGTGTTTTAATCCCACCCAGCCAGGATTCCTCGCAGCTCGTTGAAATTCAGCCTCTGCGATCGGTTTGACGAAGCGCGTCTCGTTTGTGTTTCAGGAGCCTTGTCCTAAGAAAGCCACGTTGGCTAAAGTCGTCCCGACCCCAAATAACGGATCGGCGGAGCTCGTGCCGCTCCACAGAGACCAGGTGAGGGTGTGGCTGCGGGGAGTCGCTTGTCACACGCCGCATCGTGCCGTTTATTAGCTTTTAGCTTAATTAGGGAAAAATCAGCTGCAACCAGTTCAAAGTGGGGATGTTAGAGACAGCACGCTGTTTCCTGCTGCGTGTACGACAAGCAGAACCATAAAATAACAAAAAATATAAGAAATTTGGGTTTCTTTCCTTCTTCAGCTGTATTATTTATGGAGCCAAGCCTCCGGTGTGCGTTCAGCTGGTTGTTTTCTTTCTCTCTCTCTACAGGGTGACGATGGGCAGGAAGCTCTTTCCTTTGAGTTTCAAAAAATTAAATATTCCTATGAGCTAGACGGCAAGAAACAGTTTCTCCCCGTAGCTTTCCCCGTGGAACATCCCCTTTGTTACTACCAGAACGCCCGAGGCTATCAGGAGGACAAAGATATCCGAGCGGCCGAGAAGAAATACGGCACAAACAAGTGAGTTTTCCGGGCGCGGAAATCTCTTCGCCAAAATATCTCCATTTGTCGACGCTGCTGAGCCACAGCCCTGTTCCTATTTTTTTTTTTTGCTTTTCAATTACTCCCACCGCTTGCTTCAAATTCCTTCAAGCACCAAGAAAAATCTCAAACCAAGAGATTTTCTCCAGGGTGGGCTATCGATGGAAATGAATTGCACATAATAAATTAAAAAATTTCCAAGGAATTGGAAAGGGGGAGGTTGTGGATATTCTGTCTGACACCAGCAGCTGCGGGTGGTTTTTGCGTTGCGTTCTTGCTGAAAATTTGGAATATTTCAGTTAATAAATATTTGATTCTTTCCCAGGGCTGAGATGGTGGTGCCGGAGTTCTTGGAACTCTTTAAAGAAAGAGCCACAGCTCCGTTCTTCGTCTTTCAGGTAAAATGAACAAACAGAGCTGTAAACACTTCTCCCCGCTAAAAAAGGAGAAAATTCCTTACAACCGTGGCTCGAGAGCGATAAATCCGCTGTCAGCTTTCGAAACTCAACGCTAGATGCTGGTTTTATTTTTTGATACTGATTTTAATTCTTGGAGTGACCCTAATGAGTCACTGTGATTATTTTTTTTTTTTTCAGGGTCTTTTTTTCTGGTTTTCTACAATTAAATATGGACCAAGCTAGATGAAAATTTAAAAAAAAAAAAATAATAAATAAAACCACTAAAAATTGAAGGTTTTTGTAATCTGAGGGAGGTTAGAATAACGTTGCCGTCGTGTTCTCGCCGCAGGTGTTCTGCGTGGGTCTGTGGTGCCTGGATGAGTACTGGTATTACAGCGTCTTCACCCTCTCCATGCTGGTTGCTTTTGAAGCTTCTCTGGTCCAGCAGCAAATGAGGAACATGTCGGAGATTCGAAAAATGGGCAACAAGCCCTACATGATCCAGGTAGCCCGAACCAGAGAGGATTCTCTGTAGAGTTTTCGGTGCTGCTGTCATTCAGCTCCTTTTTCTTTTCCTTTTTCCCTTCCTTTTCCTCCGATCGTTTTCCGACACATTCAGCGCTTCTTAAAGTTTATTTTTTTTTTCCTACAGGTTTACCGAAACCGCAAGTGGCGCCCCATTTCCAGTGACGAGATTATCCCGGGAGATATCGTTTCCATTGGTATTGACTTGATGGTTGGAATTAAATTTGAATTAAGCATAAAAATCTAACGGTCGGGTGCTTTTGAGGACTTTGGTGTCACAATTCAGGGGTCCAAGAGGTTAATCTTTGGGCTCTCCCTTTTAAGGTTGGAGCCTGAACGACAACGAGAACTAAATAATTTGATTTTAAACTTTCCTGGTCTTGCTAGAGACCTAATAACTTTTAATAAGCTTTAGGAATATCCTGTATCTCCTAAAAACCTTGCCAAAGCTTTAGGAACCTCCCTTGTTTCCTAAAAACCTTCCCGGAGCTTTAGGGATCTCCTGTGTCTCCTAAAAACCTTCCCGAAGCTTGAGGAACCTCCCGTGTCTCCTAAAAACCTTCCTGAAGCTTTCGGAATCTCCCCTAAAAACCTTCCCGAAGCTTTAGGAACCTCCTGTGTCTCCTAAAAACCTTCCCGAAGCTTTAGGAACCTCTTGTGTCTCCTAAAAACCTTCCCGAAGCTTTCGGAATCTCCCCTAAAAACCTTCCCGAAGATTTAGGAACCTCCCCTGTCTCCTAAAAACCTTCCCGAAGCTTTAGGAACCTCCCCTGTCTCCTAAAAACCTTCCCGAAGCTTTCGGAATCTCCCGTATATCGATTTTCCCGTATAACGATTTTTTTTCCAGGCCGATCCCCGCACGAGAATCTGGTGCCGTGCGACGTGCTGCTGTTACGCGGAAGGTGCATCGTGGACGAAGCTATGCTGACGGGAGAGTCCGTGCCGCAAATGAAGGTCTGTGAAACCTGGAAAAAAGCAAAAAAAAAAAATACTCCAGCCGCCGCGGCGGTGTTTGCGATTGCAAATGAATCTCTTTGCGCCAGCGCCGGGCTGAGGAACCCGGGCTGTTTGTTAGCGGCTCCGTATCCGCGACGGATGAGCGCTGGGAAATGGGAAACAGAAATTTCCGCGTTTTCTGGCCGTGGGTCTGAACTTCCATCGTGCAGGGACGGCATCGCCCTCCTCCACATTCCCCAGTCTGGATTCCTTTGGCTGGGTAGAGGTGGGAGGAGAAACAAGTGTAAAATAATTCCAAAAAACCTCATTTTTCCTTTTTTTTTTTTTTTTTTTTTTTTCTGTGCCAGTGGGTGACTTAAAAAATGAGGAAATAATCCCTGCGGAGCCTCTCTTGCTGAATTCAGGCTGCCAAGGGTGAACTAATCCCCCCAAAACTAGAATTTCCCCTGATTTGATCTCTGAACGCATCGATCAGGAGCTGAATGACATGTTGAGGTCTAGATGAAGCTCAGAGCATCTGAAAATAAAAAAAAATATTTGAAGTTTCCTTGTTTCCAGCGGTGTTTCTGAGCCTGAACTCTCCTGCAGGAGCCCGTGGAGGATCTGAGTCCGGACCACGTCCTGGACATGCAGACAGATTCCCGTTTACACGTCATCTTTGGGGGAACCAAAGTGGTGCAGCACATCCCGCCGCAGAAAGCCAGCACGGGATTGAAACGTAGGTTCCTACCCAAATTCCCTCGGAAAAGGCGTCTCGTGCGCTCACAGATTTTTTTTTTTCAAGGCTCGATCCAACTTTCGGATGGCGTTCGTGAGTCCGTCTCCTTGGCCCCGTCGCTGATTTTTTAAATTTTGATTATTGGGATATTTTATTAAAGTTGATTTTGTCCCTTTGGGAGCGAGAGGAGGGTGCAGCTTCCAGCGTATTCTCTCTGTCCTAAACTTATAAAATTTTGATGCTGAATTTACCGGTTTTTCTTCCAGCTGTCGATAACGGGTGCGTGGCGTACGCTCTGCGGACCGGCTTCAACACCTCCCAGGTAAGACGCGAATGTCCCGTCTCGCCTCTCTCTTGGCGAAATCCTCATGGGGGGGATGTAAATGATTCTTTGTTCGGGAGAGGAAGAAATAAGATTGGATTCTTCTTTGGGTGTCAAATAAATCATCCAACGTTTGATGCAGAAGCCTGAGAGTCACAATTCAGGATCACTGTCGTGACTGGCCGCGTTCCTGCGTCTCCCAGGTTTTGTAATTATAATTTTTTTTGTGAAAGAGCGTTTGAGGGTGTTTGTAGAGCTTGGAGATGTGAACGGGAGCTTTTTCCATTTGAAAATTGAAGATTGCTTCAAAAAAAAAAATTATTTAGGAACAGGTTTGGGTGTTTTTAACAGATAAATGAGAATAAATTTCAGGCTCCTCCACCAAAACACCAGTCTGTCATTTAAAAATTGGGTTTCCTATGGATTTTTAACAAGCGACTGCATGCCGCAGAGCTTCGCTTCTTGCACTGAAGGCTGTTCTTCTCAGGGGAAATTACTCCGTACAATCCTCTTTGGGGTGAAGAGAGTGACAGCCAATAACTTAGAGACCTTCATTTTCATCCTCTTCCTGCTGGTCTTTGCCGTTGCTGCCGCCGCATACGTCTGGATCGAAGGTGAGATTTTTTTATTTTTTTTTTCCTTGCTTCTTCCAGGTCTCTACACACAGGATTTAGCCCCCAAAAAACCCAAAAACTTGTGGGTGTGGTGGGTTAGCCCTTGGCTCGGGGCCAAACCACACACACCCGCTCACACAGTTCCCACCCCCACCCAATGATAGGGGAGAGAATAAAAGGGGTAAATGGGAAAGAGGACTCGTGGGTTGAGATAAGGACAATTTAATAACTAAACTACAATAATATTAAAAACAATACTATATACAAACATACAAATGAGTGATACACAGTGACACTGCCCTCCCCACCCGATGACCAAAAGCCCAGCCCGCTCCGGGCCAGCGATTCCAGCGGAGGGGGAAGAATGAGTGACACACAGTGATACTGCCCCCCCCTGCTCGATGACCAAAGGCTCAGCCTGTTGCTGGCTAACGATCCCAGAATTACACTCACGATTCCCCCAGATGGGGGGTGCATCGCTCCCGGAGGCACTCACGGAACAGAGATAACAGTCCCAGCGTCCCGGACCGAGAGCTGACCGGAGTGAGGGGAAAACGACCACCTGGCCACAGCTAACGATCCCCAGAGCTACACTCACGATTCCCCCAAACGGGG